TTTTGTTTCAAGTAATAAGTGCTAATTAAAATATCATTTATCAAAATGGATTTGTTTTTTTACACCTGTGTCTGTGATAGTATCTTTTGTTCGTTTGTTTGTGGATGGCCTGTGCATGTGCCAGGTATACTTGGTAAGGCTTTTCAGACATCGTGTCATTTGTATTTTACAGCAGGGAATTACATCTGGTGAAGTGACCTACCTATAGATTACCAGTCAAGGCAGAATCTGGATTTGAATCCACATCTGTCATACTTGAAGGCTCCCATTAGTTTATATTCTCTTGATGCTCTTATTCATTTTCCATTTTTCTTCCATTTCTTAGTGGGCTACACTATAGAAGTGAATTATGTGCTGAATTTTTCATTTCATCTTTTAATATAATTCTGTATTTCCTGGGTTTTAAAAATTATTTTGATAAATAGAATACTTCCAGTCTCTATTTTCTCTTTAAAAAAAGGAAAATAATTTGTTTCTTTTACTTGTACACCTTAGGTTTAGTTTAACTTGTAAATTATTGCTTGAAGACTAAATAAAAGTTTTTACTTTTTTTTTGTCAGGTCCAATAAAACACTGGCTGATTCTTTGGATAACGCCAATGACCCCAACGATCCCATTGTAAACAGGTTGCTGCGATCGATGGCCACGCAGGCGATGTCTAATGCGCTGTATTTCTCCACTGGGTCGTGTGCAGAGGAAGAGTTCCATCATTATGGTGAATGATGGCATTTTCTTTTGTGTGGCCATAACCTTGAGCAAGTCGTTTAAAAGTATGTCTTTTTGTTTATTTCCATCTTTTGGTTTCTTTTTGAAGGCCTTGCATTAGATAAATATACTCACTTTACGTCTCCAATAAGAAGATATTCAGATATCATAGTACACCGATTGTTAATGGCGGCCATCTCAAAAGACAAGAAAATGGAAATTAAGGACAGTTTATTCAGCAACAAAGATCTTGAGGAATTATGCAGACATATCAACAACAGAAACCGAGTAAGAGGGGATTTTAAGTTCTCTTACCCATCATCTCTTTCGCTAAGGGAATATCGGCTTTGTTGTGTAGTGGAATGAAGAAGTACCATATATCCTAGCAAATTAAATCCTAGCATTATTCTAACCAATGAAATTAACATGAAAGATCATTGTTTCTTATGTTGCTCTCAGTATATTTATGAACATTCTGAAGTGACTTAATGTGGGTTTAGGAGATTTAACAATAGGTGAGATATTTTTCCCAAAACGTAGAAATCTAAAAGATCATGTATCGTCTTACCAGTGGAAAATAATCATTATTCACTATTCTAGACAGTGCTTTTGATTTATGAAAAATATCGTACCATACCTGTGTCTGAAGTTTTTTTTTGCTTAACACATCTGATATTGACAGCACCGTGTCAGTGTAGTTCTTTGTTTTAGAAGCTTTGTATTTTATTTCATATTGTTTGCTAGTGGCTACAGTTTTATAGAGCATAGAATTAGGGCATTTGGTGAAATAGAAAAATTAGAACTTGCCTAAGTGTTTAATGTGTTTGTATCCAATATTCTAGTTTACTAGTGTGCAATACTATAGCCAGTAGCCATGTTGGCTATTTAAATTCTTAAAAATTAAAAATGCAGTTCCTTGGTTGCACTAGCCACATTTCACATGCAGTAGACACGTGTGACTAGTGGTGACCTTTGAGGCAACACAGATGTACAGGACATTTCGATCATTGCAGAAAGGTCTATTGGGCAGCACAGTTGTATATATGCTTTTACATTACTTCTTAGATTACTGCCTGGGTAAATTCCTGGCGATAATGAATTATTGAATCAGAAGGTGTGCACAGATAAAACTTTGATACATATTACTAAACTGCCCTCTGGAATAGCAGTACTAATTTGTAGTTCCACCAGCAGGATTTTGGTTGGACAGACTTGAAAATAAAGGTGAGACATAGATGTGGATACTTTACATGAATGAACTATAAACAGATCGTAAATAACAAACCGGTCATCTCCTTAAAAAATTAATTTTCTAGGGGCGCCTGGGTGGCTCAGTCAGTTGAGCATCCAACTTCGGCTCAGGTCATGATCTCACAGTCCGTGAGTTCAAGCCCCACATCTGGCTCTCTGATGTCAGTGCATCAGATCTTCTGTCCCCCTCTCTTGGCCCCTCCCCCACTCACGCTCTCTCTCAAAAATGAGCAAACAAAAAAAGAATTTTCTAAGACATTTTTGAGGGAATGATTACTAGGTGGTTAGTTAGGTTTCCACAAAATTGATTTAATTAATAATAGAAAAAACATTTGTATTAATAGTTTCTAGAATGTAGCCTTTTTAGAGACATCGTTTCTGGGGGAGTATGAATTCCAGGTTTGCCCCGGGAATGTCAGCATGCTTTGGGTTGTGTTTCTTCTTCCAGGCAGCACAGCATTCTCAGAAACAGTCCACTGAGCTCTTCCAGTGCATGTATTTTAAAGACAAAGACCCAGAAAATGAGGAGCGTTGCATATCTGATGGAGTTATATATTCAATTAGAACAAATGGCGTGCTTGTATTTATACCAAGGTATGTTGTATCTAACACAATAGTTGTTAAGAAATCGTGTAGAACACAAACAGCTCATTAGGTATGATTAAAGTAGCTATATGAACAATTATTTGTAGATACTGATGTATATGATGTAATAGAATAATGCATTACCCAAGTATAAAGGAGATTAGGGGCACCTGGGTGGCTCAGTTGGTTAGGCAACCAACTTCGGCTCAGGTCATGATCTCACAGTCTGAGTTCGAGCCCTGTGTCAGGCTCTGTGCTGACAGCTCAGAGCCTGGAGCCATCTTCAGATTCTGTGTGTCTCTGCCTCTCCCCTGCTCACCTCTGTCTCTCTCTCTCTCTCTCTCTCTCTCAAAATTAAACATTAAAACATTAAAAAAAAAAAAAAGATTAGAATCTAGTACATCTTTATCAGTGTGAAGATTTGATTTTACATTCTTATTGAGCAAAATACTTTTCCATCTGGTCCGTGAAATATTTGGAGGTAAATGAGAGGAAAGTTGTTTTTAATCTAGAAGGAAAACTAACATTCTAGATTAAGTACATAAGATTTGTATACATTCCCTCTGGATTTTTACTCCCGCCATGATTCATTCAGGTTTGGGATTAAAAGTGCTGCTTATCTGAAAAATAAGGATGGTTTGGTGATCTCATGCGGCCCAGATGGCCATTCTGAATGGAAACCAGGATCCCTTCAGCGATTTCAAAACAAAATCACCTCTACCACAATGGGAGGGGAGTCGGTCACGTTCCATTTGTTTGACCATGTAACAGTAAGTCCGTATTTGCATTAAGCATTGCTTTGAATGTAAAGCATAAAGAATGTGATCTGCTAATAACGCATTTTTCTCCTCTGTGACAGGTGAGAATATCTGTACAGGCCTCCCGCTGCCATTCTGACAGAATCAGGCTCGAAATAATAAGCAACAAACCGTACCTGACACCAGATGCAGAACTGTTTCATCAGAGCTCCCTTGTGCTGAAGAGTGATTTAGTGAAAGAAGTAACCAGATCTGTGGAGGAAGCTCAGCTTGCCCAAGAAGTCAAAGTAAACGTCCTCCAGGAAGATTATCAAAAATACTGCCAAACCAAGGGAAGAAGCCTGTACGCGCTCCTAGAAGAGATAAGGGACCTGGCCCTCCTGGATGTTTCAAACAGTTACGGAATGTGAGATACTCTTCTTATTTCATTAAAAGAGGTGTTCTGTGAATGTTTTACCTTCTTTTTAACACTAACATCCAATGTTCTGGTCAATTGGAGTTGGATAGATCGCAAATGCACAAAATGTTTTCTCATCATTATTAATTACAGCTGCATTAAAGTGCAATTAGGTCACTGGAAACAGGTTTTTCAGAAATGAACAGATCATGAATGGTGGCTCTGCAAGTCAGACTGCCACTCTCTTTTTAATAAACCCAGCATTGATTTTTGATTCGCTTGTCTCAAATCCATTCCTTCAAAATAAGTTAATTTTCCTAGTGACTGCCACACTGGGCCATTTGGGTCACAGACCCCTCTGACATCTGTCAGGTTAACTTTCCAGTTGCCTTCAGATAATAATACTTAGTTTAAATAAATGTTTTAATAAACATTTAAAAATATAAATAGGGGTTCCTGGGGGGCTCAGTTGGTTAAGCATCCGACTTTGGTTCAGGTCATGATCTCAGTTCAGGAGTTCGAGCCTTGCATCAGAGCCTGGAGCCTGCTTCGAATCTGTGTCTTCTTTTCTCTCTGCCCCTCTCCCACTTGGGCTCTGTCTCTCTCTCAAAAAATATACATTAAAAAAATTTTTTTAGGGGTACCTGGGTGACTCAGTTGGTTAAGTGGCTGACTCTTGATTTCATCTCAGGTCATGATCTCAGTTTGTGAGGAGGAGGAGCCCTGCATGGAGTCTGCTTGGGATTCTCTCTCTCTGCTCATGCTCTCTCTCAAAGTAAATAAACTTAAAAAATAGTAATAAATAAACTTGGTTGTCACCATGGTACTGTATCTGTAATTTACCCCTCTACCAAGCTGATAAACTCAGGCAGGAAAAACTCCAGTTGGGTCTACTCACCATCTGGCCCTAACACTTCTAGCCTCATTATTTGCCATGCCTAAGTCTTCCTTATTTTCTAGATTTTCATTTCTGTATCATATTGGACCTGTTCTTCCCAATCCTTGGGACTCTCATCCACCATCTCAAAAGTGTCCTGTGAGGCCTCACTAGGTGTTGTGTGTTCTCCATGATACTCTGCAAGTTTCTCTCCCACTAGTCAGTAAGGTACCAAGGAGCACTGGAACTTCCCTAGCACCCATGCAGGCCAGATAACAGACTAACCTTTCATGTGATGCTTTAAGGATTAAAGTGACCCCCTAAGATATATTTAAGCACGTATAAAACTCTAAACATCCTACCAAAAACGTAAATTGCAGAACTAAATAGCAATGAGAAACTTTCAAAAGCCTTTAGAGATAATTTGTAAGATTTGTATTTCTTTTTTAAAAATGGACAATATTCATTATATATTTACCTCATAAAAACTTAATTGTGTGAAAATGAAACATTCAATGGCACACTAGCAGAAGGCACTTATTAACTCCTAATCATTTTTATGATGTCCTATATATATAAACACTAGAAAATAAAATCAGCTCAACTAAATAACAAGTATAATTATAAATAGATTTTAAATAGGAATATGTAGAAGTCTTACTACATGAGGATTTTCACTCCAAGAAGACAAAATACATAGTAATCTAAAACTTAAAGGACAGCAAGTTAACAGATTTTCTCCTAGTTGAGGCCTGTCTGACCTCAGTGACATTCCCGGATGAAGGACAGTTACTGTACATTTTAAAAGGATTGGTCCAGTTGTGTTTTCTCTATTTTTAATTCCTCCTCTTCATTTACAGTACTGGCAGCAGCATCATTATGTGGACTGTCTAGAATGTCTTTGTTGCATCCATCTGATGACTCCTCTTGATCCTCTCCTGTATCAACCTCTTCAATGGTCAGCGCTCTAGGTGTGCTCACTAACGAGTCTGAAAGACAAATTATTACTCCTTCTTACCTGATAAATACAAATCTCTCCGGAGGTTACATCATTGGAAATGAAACCTATGATGACTTTCTTCACAACAGTCATTTTTATACATGTATAAAGCCCACTCAAAAATGCAAGTCTTGAACTCAAACCTTGAATAATAGCCAAATGCAACTGTTCTCGTTCAAAAATAACAACTACCAGACAAAATTTTTTAAAAATCAAATGCTCCTTACAACTCTTGATCTTGGGGTTGAGTTCAAGCCTCAGGTTGGGTGTAGACATTACGTAAAATCTTTTACAAATAAAAAAATAAAATAAATAAAATGCTGTGAACAGCTATATGTCCTAGTGATCCCTAGCAAAGAAAATTTAGGATCTTTTTATCTATTTGGGCAAATTTTAAAGTCATATATTATAAATAGAAGATAAACCTTAAAATGCTTATTGCCAGGTATCTTTGATAATGACAGCAAGGAACCGTCATCAGTGATAGTTGTATCTTCATGTAATCTTTCACCTGCTGGTAATAAAATATCCATTTGTAAAGCTGAAAATTAAATGCATTTTAACTGGAAAGAATGGTAATGTAGTCATACTAATTTTCGCTTGAGAATTTTATAATCTTAGGTGAAACTTGTTTTATAACATTATGTCTTCACTACTTAATTCTTATTTTCCCATTTCAAAAGGGTAACTACATTGGAAACTGAGAAAGACATATATATGCAATCCTGCTTCATTCACGCAAAACCAATTCACGCATTATTTTTAAATAAAGTCTACATTTTAACACCCACAGTATTTTTTAAAAACGGCAAATTCTGGGGCACCTGGGTGACTCTGTCGGTTAAGTGTCCAACTCTTGGTTTTGGCTCAGGTCATGATCTCATATTTCATGAGTTCAAGCCCTACATTGGGCTTCATGCTGACAGTGCAGAGCCTGCTTGGGATTCTGTCTCCCCTCCCCTCTCTCTCTATCCCTCCCCCACTCACTGTCTCTCTAAATGAATAAACTTAAAAAAAAAAAAGATAAAAATAAAAACAGCAAATTTTAAGACAGTTTTAAAAGAAGAGAATGCATCAGATAAGCAAACTGACAGCTAAATGACAAAATGCAATAAAAAGCAATTAAGGACTTATTTACATCATAGCAAATGGCTCTGAGTCCTCAAAGGGTTCAGAAGGCATTTTGTATGTTTAGGAAAGTACCATAATTAATATTCATATTTGAGATCCTACAGATAAAATATGTGTCACATGCCTTAAGGAGTCAGGGAAGAATATATTTTTGAAAGATTCAGAATCAATTAAACTGATTTTTAAACAGGTACTCAGCTATCCAGAAAACCATCGTGGACTCAATTTATTCTTTGAGGATTCCAAATAGCTGTCGCTTATATACACAAAAGCACTCCCTCTCTCTCAGATAACATAAACTTAATATACTACATCAGATTTTTCTATTCCTAGAGGTATTTTATTTTGGAGATAGTAGAGAAGTTAAAATTTCTAACATGTCTCTGATATATTAATGATAGTACATAAAACCCAGCATAAAATTTACCATTTCCGAGGGACTGACTATTATTCAGTAGCTTTGCCTGCCTTCTTTCCAAGGCCAGTTGTTTATTTCTCTCAATTCTCTGTTGTTCTTCTTCTGTTAGGCTTCTACTTGACTGAGAAGCAAATTTTTCACTTTCCAATGAGTTTGTCAAAAAGGGATCTAATTCGGTAGTAGTTACATCATGGCCATTATTTTCTCTTATTTCATCTAGAGTAGAAATGAAAGTTAGTACATTCATAGTTAGAAAAAGAGCTTATGCAGCTATTAATTAAAAACCAGTTTAAAGTAACAAGATGCCAGATCTGAAAAAACACTTGTTTTTTCAAGTTGTTCTGAGGTGTGAGAATGTTACAAATACAGATTACCTTCAACAACATAGGAGTTAGGGGTGCCAACCCACTGCACAGTCAAAAATCTCCATGTAACTTTTGCCTCTCCCAAAACTTAACTGCTAACAGCCTTCTGTTGACCAGAATACCAAGTGGAAGGAGTGCCGGGGTGGCTCATTCCATGATCTTGCGGCTCATGGGTTCGAGCCCCACATCAGGCTCTGTGCTGACAGTGCAGAGCAGAGCCTGCTTGGGATATTCTCTCTCTCTCTCTTTCTCTCTGTCCTTCCCTAACTTATATACTTGTTTGCTTTCTCGCTCTCAAAATAAACTTTGAAAAAAAAAATATTTTTAAAAGAAAGGGAAAAGAAATTTGGAGATCTATTAACATATTTCCACGTTAATTTAAAAAAATAACTCAGGGATGCCTGGGTGGCTCAGTCAGTCACGTACCCAACTAATAATTCAGCGCTCTCTACATTAGTCTCAATAATTTTTTTTAAAGTTTACTTATTTATTGCGGGGGGGAGGGAGGAAGAGGGAGAAATAGAGGGCGAGAGAGAGGGAGAGACAGGGAGGGAGGGGTAGAGAGAGGGAGAGAATCTCAAGCAGGCTCCAAGCTGTCAGTGTGGAGCCTGATGTGGGTCTTGAATTCACAAACCATGGGATCACGACCCGAGCCGAAATCAAGAGTTGGACACTTAACTGACTGAGCCGCCCAGGCAACCCTTGTCTTAATAAGGTCTTAAAACCCTGTATACCAATTATCTCAAAGTAGGATGCCCCTAAAATGATCCACAGTGGTATGGAAAGTAAATATTGTAACTTCCATTTATATTTAAGAATTATGAAAAATTGTACTAAATTAAAGACAGGCAGTGATAAATTATCATTTCTCCATATGACAGTTAACGTGTGGCCTGTAAGCTCCCTTAAAGGCAGCTAGTTCCACACTGTAGAAGGATAGGAGAGCTGGGCCCTTGCTCCTGTTCTAAATTTCAGCATATTGTGACATACATCTGATTCTGACTGCCCAGTTAAGTAGACTGTATAGTTTTAATACAAAATCCATAAGTGGTAGACTAAAAAGATTTCTAAAATAACAATATGTAGAAGGTAAGAGAAGGTAGACAGAAGATAATAGAGACACAAGCAAGAACTAAGAAAACGGCAAAGCCGACACTTCACCTTCTCCCTACATCATTCACATCATATGGTTAAAAAAAAGATGTCCTCTGCTCTGACAAGTCAACAAAAAAAATTTCTATCACCAAGAGCATTTGAAATATGAATTTACATACACTGTGCCTTGAGGTATTAGCTAATGTAGTAAAAACCATCACAACCAGCAAAACATTTAAAACACAAAGACAAACCTTTACAATTATTCCAGTGAGGTTTAAAATTGTATGATACTTAATTTTACAATCCAAATCCCTTTTGAGGCTTTTTCTTTGACAGTGAAGGGCAAAAAGCAATATACTTGTCCTTCCTGACATGGGGAAAAAATGTGGCCAGAAACCAAAATGTATTCCTTTGTCAGGAAATATTGATGGAGTACAGGTAGAAAACATTGCTAGAGAAGTTAAGAAACAAGTATTAGAACCAACTGTGCAATTTGGGGATTTCTAATATGCTTCACCTGACAGGGCTTACAGGATTCCAAATTAATGATAACGAAATACATACTGAACTACTGTTTTGCAGGCCATGAAAGGAAAGATCTCTTCAACAGTAAATGGCCTCTTTAATACAGTGCTATATGGAAACAATGTGAACATAATCATTGATGGAGCTTCAAGTGAAAAAAAATGGGACTAAAAAAATTAGAACCACACACGAAATTCACTCACTGCAACATTCATAGGCAAGCCACTGTGGCAAAGAAGCTAAAGACAAATATTCAATATAGGGTGCCACATTTCAGCACACATAAACCAACAGATAAGCAAATACGCAATACTTAAAGGGAAGTAGTGCTATGGGGAAAAAACGATAGAGGTATCAGGACTGGGGATGGGAGTACGATTTTAATAAAGTGGTTGCAGAGACCTCACGGAGTTGACATCTGAGCACAGTGTGAAGGGGGTAAGAGAGCCATGCAGACTTGGCGGGAAGGACAGAGGACATGTTCAAGGCAGAGTGTTAAGAGTGCAAAAGCTTAAGACAAACAAGTGTCTGGGAGGTTCAAGGAGCAGCTAGGAGGCAAGTGTGGAAGCAGTGTGAGTGAAACAGTAAAAGACACAGTCAGAGAGGCAAGGGAGGTAGGGGAAGAAAGAGATACTGTTGAGCCACATAGGATATTGTAAGGATTTTGGCTTTTCTTTGGATGAAACAAGGAGTCACTACAAAGCTCTGAGCAGAGGAGTGAGAGGACTATATATTTGTCAAAAATATAACCCCTGATTAATTTTTAAGAGAAACAATTGAAAAAAGGTAGATGAGGGGCGCCTGGGTGGCTTAGTCGGTTAAGCGTCCGACTTTCGCTTAGGTCATGATCTCGCGGTTCGTGGGTTCGAGCCCCGCGTCGGGCTCTGTGCTGGCTGCCAGCTCAGAGCCTGGAGCCTGTTTCAGTCTGTGACTCCCTCTCTCTCTGACCCTCCCCTGCTCATGCTGTCTCTCTCTCTCTCTCCTAGAAATAAATAAAAAATAAAAAAAAATAAAAAAAAGCAAAAAGGTAGATGATCATTTGCTTGTAAACTTCAACCAAAAATTCCTGCATTAGTGAACGGGATTGGAAAAAGATACCAAGAGTTGCATGATACTCTACGTCTGTCTGGATGCATGTTAGTAAGGTAAAACCAAGACTAGGTAGAAGAACACTGTAGCTACATCTCACCTTCAAATCATCGATTAAGTATCAGCGCAAGATTTTGGGGGGAAAAAATCAGTAGAATATTCAATCATACTGTTCTCACTTTAAAACCTCATAATAATGTTCTCATGAGAATAAAAATGTGCACTAATTATCAGATCCATAGCACATTTAATAGAAAAACAAATAAAATGCTCAAAACGTGTACTGTTGCAGTACCTTATCCAAAAGATTTGGAAAACTATCCTCTTAGGATACAAAGAAAACAGATTCGACAATAAACAAGACTTTAGGATATAGGCCTCTTCTATGTACCCAGTAGTTCAGCATGCGTGTAATTCCATGAATAGTCCCGTGTTAATTTATGCCTCTACATGAGTCCCTCTCCAAAATCACCTTTGCCTGGACTCTACTCCACATCATTCAAAGTACTTGTGATACATCCTCTGTGAAGCTTCCCCCTCCCATAGGTAAAGGCAACTATGCTCTCCTTTGCACTCTACCCTGTACCCTATTCCTATCTCTAATTATAGCACCTATCAGAACAGAGGTGATGTTTTGTGTCACTCATTCACTAGCCTGTTAGCCCATGAACCAAGGGGTCCAAACTTAACTCATTATCTCTGAAATTGTAGCACACACTATGCAGCTCAAAAAGTGCTGAACAATCTAACCCAGTGGTATGTGCTGTGGAATTTACCGTAGTTACTAATTCCTCTTCATATACCAAATCCCATGCCACAGATACAAACCATATCTTACCAAAATATTTAAATCTTAGATTATTTAAATCACAACCCTTCACATTTTTAAAAGCAGTTTAGAAATAACTTTGGGGGATTCTAAATGGAGCCTGTATTTTCTACACCTATTAAAAGTATAAAAAAAAATGTATGGAGCCATCGCACAGAAAATCTGATAACTATACAGACCCTGTCGGCAGGAACCATATGTTTTGATGTGTGTGACTGCCTATGGTTGCACTGTACAACTAACAAATGCAATCAATACCAGGAACAGTCACAAAGGTCTTACTGAAATCCTGTAGAGATCTTCCTTAACTTACAGGGGGGTTATAACCTAATAAGCCCACTGTAAGTTGACAGTATCTTTAACTAAAAACGAATTTAATATACCTACCCTACCTTAAACATGCTCAGAACATGTATATCGGCTTACAGTTAGGCAAAATCATGTAACACAAAGTCTTATAATAAAGTGCTGAATGTCTCATGCAATTCATTGAATCCTGTACTAAAAGTAGAAAACAGAATTGCTGTCAGTGTATTATCGGTTTTTTACCCTCATAATCATGTGGCTGACTGGGCAGTGCGGCCGCCACTGCCCAGCATCACAAGATAGTGTCCTAGCACACACCACCAGCCTGGGAAAAAAAACCCAAAATCTGAAATTCTAAGTATGGTTTCTACTGAATGCCTAGCATTTCTGTACCATCATCAAGTTGAAAAATCGTTAAATCAAACCATTATTAAGGTATATAAGGATCTATACTCTTAAGAGAAAACTACTTCATCATCACCCTATTCTAATTCTGCAGAGTCACTTTTTAGTGGTGTCCATGTATATGAACACTCTATCTTGTCATTTATTCTCATTAACAAGCACCATAAAGGATTGACGGGTCACCATCCGAATTCTCAAAAGCTCAAGTTCTGTGACTAAATATATTTTTACAACATTTCTTAATGGCACTGCAGTCATGTCTTTAAGAAACAAGTATTAAATGACACGTACCAAGGCATCTTAATTCATTCCTATTTACTGTAATTATATACTCAATATAGACTAAGAACCCAGTGCTTAATCTACCCCAACCCCAACTAATCCATTTCTAAACCAAAATTATTTTAATGATAAACCTTATTCTTACCATTATTGCCAATAAAATCTTCATGTACAATAGGGAGATCAAGTCGAATTCGTTTTAAACAAGTCTGAAAATAAAGAGATATTTTTACACTTTCACCAGTAACATTTGGGAGAAAATGATAATTTATTCAATTCTTAGTTCCAAGAAGGTTGTTCTTCAAATAACAACTACTAATTTCCCTTCTCTCTACCAAGATAGATTTTTAAAAAGAAAACGCAAGTAGCTACTTAGCCTCAACTAAATCCATCCTTGGCAGGATTTAGTATTGTGAATGATATTCATAATCATCTCAACACCTACCTGAACTTCCTTTTTACTTCCCAGGTATTCAACTCTGTCAATAAAATCCTCAAATTGCAGTTTAGGGAATAGCCTATGTGCCCAATGCTCCATGTGTCTGATTAGCGTTTTCAAGTCTTCAGCCTGGCACATAAAAATAAAAATGCTAAATAGAAGATTCATTCTCACAACTGACCTTGTCAGCAGATTTTAGAATTGAATAGTAATGCCAAAGTCACTGGTTTCATTTTATATTTATAAGGTTAAGAAACTTTTGAAGAAACTTTAAGAAGAGAAATATTTATTGAGCTCAGAGAACTGTAGTCTAAAAGAGCACTGGATATAGGTTTTTTAAAAACCAGCATGAAAACTTAATTAAAGTTAAAAGATAATCATGTGTCTCTTCAGAACTGTAAAGTAATATGTGAAAATAAGTTTTAATAAAATATGTCAAGAGATCTTTTAGGAATAACTAAACAAAATGACAGGTCCCTAAATCATATATAAAGAACAAAGTATTGAGAATTCAGCACTGTGAAAATATATTCAGAAATCCCCAAGGCAAAGTACAAAGACTAGCAACAACAGTTTAAATGTTCTCGGAGCACACTACCTATATAGGAAATTACAATTTAACATTGAAATCTTTTTAAATGAAAATAAACAAAGTTGAACTGAACTAATGAAATGACAAAATTCTAAATTCCTGGTTTTACTGTAAAATATTTAATTCTTCTCTTAACAGTATTTTAATTTTTTTTTTAACATTTATTTATTTTTGAGAAGGCGGAGGGGAGGGAGGGAGACCTAGAACCCGAAGCAGGCTCCTGGCTCTGAGCTGTCAGTGCACAGCCCAACACGAGGCTCGAACTCACAGACCGTGAGATCATGACCTGAGCTGGGATCAGACACTTAACTGACTGAGCTACCCAGGTGCCCCAACAGTATTTTAAAATAGAGTAGTCAAAAGCACAGGCTCTATGTCAGACTGCATAGATTCAAATCTCAATTCTACCACTTAATAACTGTGTACCTTTAAACAAATCACTTTACCTCTGTACCCCCTTCTTCATTTATAAAATAATAGTATTATATACACTTCGTAAGGTTATGAGGAATAGTTAATACAAGTAAAGCGCCTGACATATGCACTCAAATACTGGCTATTATTATTTGATCTTGTCTAAGAAGCCAGTGGTCAAACCTACCAATAACTAAACATGTAATACTGAGAGCATGTGTTATCCTTCTCATTCTGATAAAAAATATAAAATTTTAATTCAATCACCTAAGATTATTTTCTTTTTTTTAAATGTTTTATTTATTTCTGAGAGAGAGAGAGACAGCATGAGCAGGTGAGGGTCAGAGAGAGAGGGAGACACAGAATTGGAAACAGGCTCCAGGCTCTGAGCTAGCTGTCAGCACAGAGCCCAACACGGGGCTTGAACCCACAAACCATGAGATCATGACCTGAGCTGAAGTCAGACGCTTAACCGACTAAGCCACCTAGGCGCCCCCCAATCACCTAAGATTATATTCCAATTGTAGAGTGCAGCTGGTCTCTCACCTCACAAGGTCATTTTAGACCGAAGGGTCACAAGAAGAGAAACCCCTAAATACAGTGGGATGTCCCAAGTCATACATGGAGAAAAAAGCAGTAAGGACTCAGCTTTTTGGGAAAATGTAAGAATGTCCAAGGGCAAAGTACAGAAGACTAAATAGCATAAACTCTCAGAGCCCACCCTTACTCAGTGAAAAGAACACAAAATTTTTATTCTTCGTATCAACTCATTTATTTTAATAAAGTACTTATGAAAATGATGAAGATGACATTAAATTCAAAGCACCAATTCATCATTACAACCCCCAAATTTCAACGAGGGCAATGAATAAACTGAGATTGGTCTGGTTTTAAGATCTGTGTTTTGTTTTTAAGCTCTATGCCCCACGTGGGGCTTTAACTCACAACCCCAAGATTATGTCCCATGCTCCACTGACTGAGCCAGCCAAGTCCCCTTCTCTCTTTTTCCAAGATGGGTATGGTTTTACTTTATTTTTAGAAAGAGCATGTACGAACACTCCCGAGGCTGGGGGAGGGGCAGAGCAGGGGAGAAAGTGGGGGAGAGACGGAGAGAGAGAGGGAGGGAACGAGACTCCTAAGTAGGCCCCAAGCCCAGCATGGAGCACTATGCAGGGCCTAATCCCCCAACCATGAGATCATAACCTGAGCAAAATCAAGAATTGGATGCTTAACCAAATGAGACACCCAGGTACTCCCCTCCTTTGAGAAGTTGGGTATGGTTTTAAATATAATCCTGATTTAGGGGAGCCTGGGTGGCTCTGTCTATTAACCATTGGACTTTGGCTCAAGTCATGATCATGCCTCCTGTGAACGAAAGAGCCCCACATCGGGCTCTCTGCTGTCAGCACAGAGTCCACGCTAGGTGCTCTGTCTCCCTCTCCCTCTCTCTCTCACAGAAATAAACACTTAAAAAAGATAAATATCCTGATTATCCTGATTTACATTTAGTTTTGTGGCAAAACAGGACAGAGGCTTCTATGCTCTCTTCCTATCCACTGAAGCTGAACAAAGGTAGTTTTGCAGCCTCCCAGCTTTGAAATCTTGGGATTTTTATTTTTAATTGAATTTATTTTTTATTGTTTATTTTGATAGAAAGCACACAAAAGCAACACAGAAGCAGAGAGAGAGAGGGAGAGACACTACCAAGCAGCCTCCACACAGTCAGTGTAGAGCTAGAAGTAGGTTTGATCTCAACGAGGGGCTCAATCTTATGAACAGAGAGATCATGACCTGAGCAGAAATCAAGAGTCAGACATTGTTTGGTTTTTTTAAAAGTTTTATTTATTTTTTGAGAGAGAGGGAGAGATAGCGTGAACAGGGGACAGTCAGACAGAGAGGGAGATACAGAATCTGAATACAGGCTCCAGGCTCTGAGCTTATCAGCACAGAGCCTGACTTGGGGCTCGAACCCACGAACCGTGAGATTATGACGTGAGCCAAAGTCAGATGCTTAACCGACTAAGCCACCCAGGAGCCCCAAGAGTCAGACGCTTGACTGATAGAACCACCCAGGTGCCCTGTTTTTAACTAAATTTAATTTTATTTTTCTAAATAAGCTCTATGCTCAAGGTGGGGTTTGAACTCATGACCCCAAGATCAAGAGTCACACACTCTATAGACTGAGCCAGCCAGATGCCCCTCTTGGGATTATTTCTGACCCGTTTTTTTTTTTTTTTTTTATCTCATTCTATCCCATTACCTTAGTACTGTTTGTTGTTTCTCTCTCTACTACTGCCCTATCAGCCTATCTTCACCTTATTCACCTTCACCTTATAGTGTGATAGCTGTCTACTTCCAGCCTCTTCCCTCTTTCCTATTATCCTGCATACCACACCAAGATGATGCTCACTGGGTATTAACATTACTCTAGCTGGGCTACGAAAGCGGAAGTCTAAGTTCTGCCTTTAACTATCGGCAATGGAGACTTAAAACTAATAAAATTCCATTTCCTTAATAACTAGATAATAGGACCAATACCTACCCCAACAGGTTGACAATTATTTGAAAATGCTTCATAAATTACAAAGTTCTACAAAGATATTTGCAAAATTGAATACTACATTATTCAGAGAGAAGACACTTTTGGGGCGCCTGGGTGGCTCAGTCGGTTAAACATCCGATTTGGGCTCAGGTCATGATCTCATGGTTTGTGGGTTCAGGCCCCACACTGGGCTTTGTGCTGGCAGTGCAGAGCTCGCTTGGGATTCTCTCTCTCTCTCAAAAATAAATAAACTTAAAAAAAAAAAGATAAGAGACCTGTTAAATGTACATTTGGATAGTGATTGACAGTTCTTAAATGCCTTCATTTTTCAACAGCTGAGGCCTATTATGAATCAGACACGTATGACAATATAAGTGTCATATCTTAGGGACATAAAAGTGATTAATACAGGTCAAGTCCTTGCTCTCCTGAAGCCTAAAATCACTCTTTAATGTAGACTAAGTCAATTATATTCCTCAAGATCATAAAGTACAAAATCAGAGCTTACAGACTTAGATGTGATTTTCCTAAAGCTATACAGGGGCAAAAGTCAGACTATACGACAGGTTTTTCTGATTCTTCAAGTAGTGCCCTTTCTACTGCATCTTAGTTTCTCAAGAGTTATGATGAATGATAGTGTCTGTGGAACATTCTAATTATGACTCTTCAGAACATGTTAATGGGCCCACAGTCTTACCAATATTTGAAAAAACACAGATCTAAAATAAAAATCAGACATTTCTTACCTCATGGCCTTTACCTTTGAATTTTGCCTTATCAAACACATGCCTTAATGCTGGAAGCCCTCTCTCTGAAATTAATCTGTAGAGAGAAATAGGTTTTGAATTTCCAGTTTTCTAGAGCCATCAAGGTGAAAGCAAGACCATAAGAAAAAAAATATCTGCTGAACTGAAAAAAAGAAAAGTCTTTAGAAACCTTAGAAGTAACTGGGGCGCCTGGGTGGCTTAGTCGGTTAAGCGTCTGACTTTCGCTTAGGTCATGATCTCGCAGTTCGTGGGTTCGAGCCCCGCGTCGGGCTCTGTGCTGAGAGCCAGCTCAGAGCCTGGAGTCTGTTTCAGTCTGTGACTCCCTCTCTCTCTGACCCTCCCCTGCTCACGCTGTCTCTCTTTCTCTCCTAGAAATAAATAAATGTTTAAAAAAAAAAAAAAAAACTTCTAAAAAAGAAACCTTAGAAGTAACTGATCTCCAAATCATCCAAACTAAAAGTTGGGTTTTTCTTTTTTTCCCCAAGTGTTTATTTTTGAGAGTGAGTGCAAGCCAGGGAGGGGCGAGAGAGAAGGGGACAGAGGATCGAAAGCAGGTTCTGTACTGACAGCAGTGAGCCCAATACAGGGCTCGAACCCATGAACTGTGAGATCCTGACCTGAGCCGAAGTTGGACGCTAAACTGACTGAGCCACCCAGGATCCCCCTAAAAGATTTTAATATAAGGAAAAAAAGAATCTAAAGTGTAAATGTTTAAGGAACTAGAAAATGTACCTCTGAGCGTCCAGCTTGGGTAGATTCCGTTTAACTGTTCTCTTTGGAGGTACAGGAACAGGTGCTCCTCTCCCTGACTCTGGTGAAATATACTAAGATTTAATATTACTTAAATAATTTAAGCCTCCTTTACAAAATATATCATTTCTATACTGAAAGATGGATAACTGAACGTGGGCACTTTGGAACTCTATACAGACCTTCATCAGGTTCAGCTCTTTCACCATCTCTCTGTGGGGAGGCTGGCGGTGGGAAAGGAGGAAAAGTTTCATCTTCTACATGCTCATAATCTGGTAAGTCAATCAAGCCATTCTCCTGTGGTTCTAGCATCTTTTCCTCTACAAAAAAAAAAAAAAAATTTATTCATCCACATAGTCTTTCTATTATACAGTTAAGTTCTACCTGCAGCAAAATGCGTGTGTTTCAGTCAGTTAAACCACATTTCAAACTCCTATCATGAAAAGAAGTAGAAAGTGGTTATGAAGAAAAATGAAACTGGGTTAGAAATCAAAACTGGGGCACCTGGCTGACTCAGTTGGTTAAGAGTCTGACTTCAGCTCACGCATAATCTTGCTGTTCGTGGGTTCGAGCCATGTCAGGCTCTGTGCTGACAGCTCACAGCCTAGAGCCTGCTTCAGAGTCTGTCTCCTCCTCTCTCTGCCTCTCCCCTGCTCTGTCTCTCAAAACTGAATAAACGTTTAAAAAAAAAAATCAAAACTGAGGTTTTAAAAAAACATTTAATGTTTATTTTTAAGAGAGAGAAAGCGCGAGCCCAACAAAGCATTCAAACTCATGAACCGGGAGATCATGACCTAAGCCAGTCAGAAGCTTAAATGAGCCACCCATGTGCCCCCAAACTGAGTTCTAAAGACCCTTCCACTCAGTCACTGCATGGTTTTAAGCAAATCATTTTACTTCTACTGTTGAGTCTCCCCTATCACAAAATGATGATTCTGATTTTTCAAAGGGTTTCAAACTGTGGTCCAAATGAGTATGAACTAGGCAGGGTTCAGATACCTTACCCCCACTTTACCAGAGCAAGTTATAAAAAACCTGCTTACATACTGGCCTTCTAGGTAAGGTTTCCTTTTCAAAGTGTTACGGAATCTGATCTAGATCACCGGGCAGAAAACCCAAGCAGCACTGGGAGATCTTAGAAGGCAGGAGGTTTATTTTACAGCAGTGGGCTCAGTGGAGATCACTCTCCAGAGGTCTGAGCCTAGAGCATTAGAGGGAACAATTTATAGCCCGTTACTTCTGTATTCCTCATTAATCAGGGACAGGTGTTTCCCATTAGTCCCGTCGGCTATGTTACAGCTGATTTTCCCTATCAAAAGAAGAGAAATAGTCCTCAGGTTGATAACTTGAAAGAATGTTTTTCAGTACCATCTACTGTGACCTCTCAGCAACATCTGACACTTTTGATCAGTTCCTTTTTCTGGAAAAGTGTTTTTGTTGACTTCTGAAACACAGTACTCACCTGGTTTTCCTCCCTTTCTGGACACTCCTCCTGGATCTTCTGTGCTTCATCTTCCCCTAACCTGGTCAGTAAGTATTCAAGACTCCAATAGGCCTCTTCACTCATTGATGCACATGGCTTCAATAATCATTTACAGGTGGCTAATTTTTTCTCGGTCTCCACCTGAGGCATCAAGTCTGAGCTCCAGATCCCTACTTCTCATTTTACAGCTCTTAAGTTTCTCAAAAGCACCTACAACATACCATGTACAAACCGAACTTCTAAATTTTCCCAATTCGGTGACTGACATTCTATCCAGGTATGCAAAGAAGCAGCCTGTAAAGTCATCCTTGATACTTCCTTCTCCCATTCTACATATCCTGTCCATTTTACTTCCTAAATATCTGTTAAGTCTTCCCATTTCTCCACAAGCACTTCCTAACATTTCTTGCTGGGGTTACTACATTACTCATAACTGCCTTTGCCTTTTTCAGACCATTCTCCACATTACAGCTAGACTGAAGCTCTGAAAATGTAAAGCCAATCACATGATCTTTTGGCTTAAATAAATAGCTTCCTGGCGCTCTTAAGCTAATGATAAAACTCCAGGCCCTTGGTTTGGCACCTTCCTACTTCTCCCGACTCACTTCACACCCACTTCACACCGCTCTTCACTCTTTTCTTTCAGTCCCTTGAAAGAGCCATATCCCTCAGGTCATTAGTCCCTTGCTAAGGCTGCTTCCTATCTTGAAGGCTCTTCCCTGACTCCTTATCTTTCAGATCTCAATTATCAACTCCTCAGATAAATCTACCCCAATTTCCCTGAATTAAATCCTCCTATAATAAGCATTCAAAATGTCAATCACTCATTTCATAGCACTTACCCAATTTTAATATTATGTTCCATTTCTGTGATTATTTGACTCAAGTCTGTCTTCCATTCTAGACTGAAGCTCTAAAAAGGCAAAGACCAAGAGAGTCTCTTGTGCTCCACCACTGTATCCCCAAAGCTGGTTTACAGCAGGTGCTCCATATTTACTGAATGAAGGAATAAAGTTTCCAAAGCTTCCCTCAAACTGTAAAACCACTGGAGCTAAATGATCCCTAAAGTCTCTCCAATTCTAAATTTCAATGACCACTAATACATAAAAACAAAACAACATATCAACTCCCACTGTATCTTCAAGGAAGGTTCGATAACCACATATTTCCAAAATTGGAAAAGCAGTTAGAGCTCACATAATCTAAGGAGGCTTCCTATCTACAATAAGTATATTCAAGTTAAGTTCAATTCTAGTTAATTTTCTCTAGAAAGAAATGGGGTTCACACCTTTGAGGTCAACAGGGAGCTCTGAGTTTGACGGCAGGGCACAAACTATATTAAATGTAGCAAGAAGCAATGTTAATTGCCTGTTCATTAATATCCATAATACAATTCGTTCCCAGGCCCTTAGGGGTCCAATATCCAACTTCATCCAAGTTATCAAAATAGTTGAACGTGACGAATGGGGAATCCCACCAGACTGACTCGATGTCCTCCCCTGCTACTCCCCCTAAAAACACTAAACTTCCCATCCCACCTCTTGTCTCCATCCTTCCAATCCCGCCCCCCTAGTCTCACTTCAATTTCATTCATACATTCATTTCACATTTACAGGATGCATCCTACGTTTAGAAGCCCCTGAACAGAAAGTAGCTGGCGGCGTAAAGGTCGATCTGATTGATGCACCTTCCCTCCCGCTAAAACACTGGATTTAACTACAGGCCGACCCAACGGAAACAAGTAAACGCGCCCGCCCTCCTCCCCATGGGTCGTGGACTGTCAGTCCCGTGCAGCCTAGGCACGTCTCAGTATTTTCTCCCAGCCTCCGCACTCCCTGCCCGCGACCCCCCAGCACCCCAGCTCCTCCACCTGCCCCGCTAGGCCGCCGCTTCCCCCAGGGCCTTCACACGCCTGCGGGCCCGCTCTCACCTCAAAAGCACTGCTACAGCCGCAGCGCGGTCCTTGCTGAGGCCAGACCACGTTTATCGCGAGACTCTGAAGATTCCCCGCGAAAGGAGGGCTCCGCGTTTGGCGCCAAATCTACGCAGGGTTCGGGCGGAGCCTGCGGGACTCACCTCCCCCCATGGCCCGCCCACCCATGTCCGTCTCCGCCTTTCCGGGGTCCCGCCCTTCCATCACTTCCGCCCCTGCTTAATTCCTCACAAGAGTTGTAATTTATTTGCATAAAGCTCATTGTGTTATGTTCTAAGCACTTTAGGCTCTGGAGCAAGGATTCAGTTTTCTAGTAAACTGGCTTGTGGTTGGAGTAGAAAAAATAGAGGCAAAAGAATTTAATGAGAACCTTCTGATTCTTCACAGAAACTATTCCTTGAACATTGAATTTTACTGTTTATTGAATAATGAGCTGAGAGAAGAGGTGATAAAGAGTGTTAGAGGTGTGTAGACACAAAAAATATCAAAAATACGTTACCTTTAATATATTTATTTGTTAAGTGAGTTTAGGGGTGCCTGGCTGGCTCGGTAGATAGAACTGGCGACTCTTTCTCAGGGTTGTGACTTCGAACCACACCTGGGTGTAGATTACTATAGAAAAAAAAGTGAATCCAAATATATTCAGATTTGTTTATAATACTTGTGGGGACGGTAACTGGGTACATGGGAGGAGGTGGGATGGGAACTCAACTCTATACCTTTTTTTTTTTTTGTAAGAAAGCTTTATTTACCTCAAAGCGGGTTTGAACTCAAGTCCCTCATGATCAAGAGTCGTTTGCTCTTCCAACTGAGCCAGCTAGGCGCCCCTATACCTTTATTAAACATATCAATACATTAACTATGCAAAAAAAAAAAACCTAAAAAATGTTATCTGCAGCAAATACAGCATTAAGATTTGACAAACCACAAAGATGAGTAGTGCTTGCAACATTATTCTCTCTACTTTTCTATAGCTTGAAATACTTTGTTAAAATTATAAAAGAATAGGGACGCCTGGCTGGCTCAGCTGGTAGAGCTTACAACTCTTGATCTTGGAGTTATAAGTTCAAACCCCACGCTGGGTGTAGGGATTACTTAAAAATAAACTCTTTTTTTAAAAAAATTAAAAAAGAGGGGCGCCTGGGTGGCTCAGTCGGTTAAGCGTCTGACTTGACGCTTAGGTCATGATCTTACGGTTAGTGGGTTCAAGCCCCGCGTTGGGCTTTGTTTTTGACAGCTAGCTCAGAGCCTGGGGCCTGTTTCAGATTCTGTGTCTCCCTCTCTCTCTGACCCTCACCTGCTCATGCTGTCTCTCTGTCAGAAATAAATAAAAAACATTTAAATACATAAATACATAAATAAAAATAAAAAATTATAAAGGAATAAATCAAACATGTGAGAACATAAAATAAATTGCAAGCTGTATTATCTAAAATTATGCAAGTGTGGATATGTACCATTTTCCTAATTTTGTGATTTTATTTCTATACATAAATACATTATTTATGTAAAAACATGTATAAAGTACATTTATTGATACCTATATATGCAAGATAACATTTATTAATATTAAGCAATTGAGAAAATTAACATTAGGGCCCCTAGCTGTTTCAGTCAGTAGAAACTAACTCTTCTTCTCAGGGGTTGTAAGTCTGAGCCCCATGTTGGGGGTAGAAATTACTTAAAAGTAAAACCTTTAGGGGCGCCTGGGTGGCTAGTTGGTTGAGCGTCCAATTTCGGCTCAGGTCATGATCTCATGGTTTGTGGGTTCCAGCCCCGCGTGGAATTCTGCTGGCAGCCAGCTCAGAGCCTGGAGCCTGTTTCTGATTCTGTGTCTCCCTCTCTCTCTGACCCTCCCCTGCTCATGCTGTCTCTCTCTCTCTCTCAGAAATAAATAAAACATTTTTAAAAAATTTAAAAAAAAGTAAAACCTTTAGGGGCGCTGGGTGGCTCAGTCGGTTAAGCATCTGACTTAGGTCATGATCTCATGGTTTGTGAGTTCAAGCCCCACATCCAGCTTAAATTGACAATGGAGAGCCTGCTTGAGATTCTCTCTCTCTCTCCCTCGCTCTCTGCTCCTCCCCAGCTTATGTGAGTGCACACACCCTTTCTCTCTCTAAATAAATGAATAAACTTTAAAAAATAAAATAAGACCTTTTTGAAATGATAGAAAATTAACATTAATTTGAATGGGAAACATATCAACTTCAATAGTCTGACTAACTGAGGCAAGAGGCATCCTTCCAATTATCCAGGTAACAATCTATATTCCCCACTAATCAGGTAAATGTAAAAGCACTTTGAGAAATTGAAAAGTTATGTCTCTCCCCTTACCCACCCCCACACTGAAAAGCCCAGCACAGAAGCTCTGAGGGTTTGAATCTCAGTTCCATCATTTACTACTTGGTGACCTTTGTGCTTCAGTTTTCTCATTATTAACAACAGTACCTACTGGATAGAGTTATGGGGAGCATTACATTATAATACTTAATGTTACCTGTTATTATCCATATAATTTTTAGAATGTTTGACCTTTTGAGAAAATGTAAAGACTTTGGTAAGTAATTATGGGCCCATATGAATATAACTACCACCATCATAAAGCACTGACATATTACTGTCAAAGCTAATTGTCTCTTTTGCTCATATGTGAGGAATAGTAGAAATATATTTTCCAGGGTCATCTGGGTGGCTCAGTTGGTGAAGCATTCAACTTCAGCTCACGTCATGATATCACAGTTTGTGGGCTTGAGCCCCGCGTTAGGCTCTGTGCTGACGCCGGCTTCAGATTCCTTGTCTCCCTCTCTCTCTCTGCCCCTCCCCTGCTCATAATCTCACTCTCTCTCTCTCAAAAATAAATAAACATTAAAAATATTTTTTTCCATTGCAATTTCATCAGGGATATAAAGATAGCTTTTTCATGGACCATGTAATTCATTCTCTCTTAAAAAACAGTTTAATGTTTTTAAAAGTGAATGTCTTAAAGAAAAAAATAGGGGTGCCTGGGTGGCTCAGTCGGTTGATCGTCTGACTTTGGCTCAGGTCATGATCTCATGGTTTCTGAGTTCGAGCCCTGCATCGGGCTCTTTGCTGACAGCTCAGAGCCTGGAGCCTGTGCAGATTCTGTGTCTCCCTTTCTTTCCACCCTTCCCCCACTCATGCTGTATCTCTGACTCTCTCTCAAAAATAAATAAATGTTAAAAAGAAAAAGAAAAAAAATAGACTGTGAAGGCCAAAGATTGAGTATAGAGTGTAAAAGCAGAGAACCCACCCAGCCCAGAGATGAGGTTTGAAAAAAGAGAAATGGAGTATGTCTTTTACAATGAAAAGACCATGAACTATTTCTTTCTCACATTAAAAAAATGAAGTCTCTGATTCTTGTTGATTGGTTGGTGTTATTTATGCTTATCACTTAGGTGAGTGTTGGGCTGGCTGCTGGTAGTGGCCTGCTGTGTATTTGAGGTCGATATCTCAATATTGTGGTACCTATTTGGACCCTGTCTTGTACATGACATGTCCACGTTGGGATCATATCACCCAACCAGGTCCACTTTACCATTAGCAATCGAGGTGGACAGGCCAGGAATAATACATTCAGGTCTGACTCAGAGACAAATAACAGGAAAAAACTAAAATAAACTAAAATACCAATAAACAAAATAGAAAGCTTATTTGTCTCTCATGTATAAGAAATCTGGAAGTGATGACTTCATGATGGGCATGATGCTCCATGGTGTTACGAATCCAGGCTCCTGTCCTCTTGATTTACCATGTAAGCATCTCAATTTCAAGTTCACCTCACTGTCCAAGATGGCTTTTAGAACTCCAACTACATTTCCATCTGCAGGAAAGAGGAAAAAACAGCACATTTTTAGAAAAATTCTCAGAAGTTGCATACAATTCTGGTTCCATTCCATTAGGCAGAATGCAATCACATGGCCACACACAGCTGCAAAGAAGACTGGGAATACAGTCTTTATTCTTGGTGGTCACGGCTCAGCAAAAAACCAGGGTTTCTATTACTGTCGGAGAAG